GTGCAGCCATAAACGAGTTCGTTCGGCACGCCGTTAATGTCTGTTTTGACAGTATTCCGTAAGCCAAGTAAAACGGTGGGAAGCCCTTCGTACCAGTCTGCGCTATCATGTGCACATAGTGTAGCTTTCAGCTGGCGGTGAAAACGCTCAACCGTGCCGTTGGCGGCAGGGTAAAATGCAGTCGTTTGGACGTGACGGCAGCCGAGAGTCTGAAGAAGGTGAGCAAATGTGCCTGCGAAGTGCGAATCGCGATCAGTTGTCACAACGGCAGGACAACCAAAGTATGAGACTTATCGCTCTAGAAAAGCGGGAGCGACAGTGTCTGATGAGCAACCTGGCATTGGAATGGCATCAGGCCATCGTGTAAAGCGGTCTATACAAGTCAGCAAGTTAACATATCCTTTAGATGGGGGCAGTGGCCCAAAAAGATCAACATGAATATGGTGAAAACAAGCATCAGGAAGTGGAAATGTACGAAGCAAACTTTTCGCGTGTTGATGAACCTTAGACTGTTGGCAACCAAGGCAAGTACGAGCCCACTGTCTAACGTCCCGGTTGACGTTGCGACACACGAAGCGTTGTGTGACGAGCTTACCTGTGGCACGAATGCCTGGATGCGATAAACTGTGAAGAATGTCAAACACAGTGCGTCGGAAAGCTTTAGGAACTACTGGTCGTGGTGAATTTTGCGAAACGTCGCAAAGTATGGCTCCATCCGAAGTAGGCAGTGTAACTGATCGTATGCCTAAGGAGCTAGAGTTGCGAAGCTGATCCAGCTCCGGGTCGGTCTGTTGAGCATCAGCCATTGCCGCTAAATCGATTCCTTCAGCGGACATGATGGAGCTGACTCAAGAAAGAGCATCAGCGACGGAGTTCTGCACGCCCGAGACGTGCCGTATTTCTGACGTAAACTGTGAGACATAGTCCAGGTGGCGTATCTCTCTCGGAGAGTATCGGTTGGATGACGAGTCGAGGGAGTAACCAGAAGCTTTGTGGTCAGTGAAGACGGTAAAGCTTCTGCCCTCTAGAAAAGGACGAAAATGTCGGTTGGCGAGGTAAACTGTCAGAAGTTCTTTCCCGAAGGTGCTGTAACGTTGGCTGCAACCGTTTCGAAAAGAAACCCAAAGGATGCCAAGCATTGTCGACAGCCTGCTGAAGATCAGCACAAACGGCCTCGTCTGAGACATCAGTGACGAGAGAAATTGGAGCAAATGGTACTGGATGTGCTAAGAGAGCAGCATTAGCGGTTGCGTCTTTAAGGTTTGAGAAGGCTAATCACGCGGACGTGGTAACAACAAACGAACGTTGATTGCCCCGAAGCAAGTCAGTCAAGGGCTGCATTATACTAGCACAACACGGAATAAAGCGTCTATAGTAGTTGACTATTCCAAGGAAACGTTTAAGCTGTTTAAACGACGTAGGTTCATGGAAATCTCTGATGGCGGTTACCTTTTGGGACAGAGGTTCAATACCTAAAGCTGAGATGCAGTGACCTAGGAGCTCGATCGACGATTTTCCTAGTTAGCACTTGCTAGGGTTCAAGGTAACGCCTCGATCAGATAGGCGTTGGAATAGAATATGCAGATGCTCTTAGTGTTGCGACTTAGGATGTCATCCACTTAATTTATGCGAAGTCCAGACCACGAGTAACGTATTGGCTGAACCGCTGGAATGTTTGCGCAGCGTTCCTTAACCCGAAAGGCATTCGGAGGAACTCGAACAAACCAAAGGGTGTTATAACTGCAGTTTTTGGGATATCGTAGTCCTCTACAGGAATCTGGTGATATGCTCGCGTCAGGTCTATCTTACTAAACACTGACTTACCACCGAGGCTACTTGTAAGGCCATAGATGTGCGGTATAGGATACCTAACTGCAACTGTGCACTTGTTCAGCGCCCGGCAGTCTCCGCAGGACCGCCAGTCGCCGCATTTCTTGGGCACCATGTGGAGAGGTGAGGCCCACTGACTTTCGGAAGGATGGATAAAATCAAGTTCGAGCATGTGCTGGAATTCCGCCTTAGCGGCTTTTAGCTTGTCAGGAGCGAGACGTCATGGTCGTGCAGAAACCGGTGGGCCACGGGTTGGTATACGGTGCTTAACGCTAGATGCGACCGGAAGCGTAGCGTCAGCTGAGTGGACCAGCTGCGGAAACTGTCTGAACAGATCTAAAAATGCTTCATCAGCTTCGGGCTGAATGTAAATGGGAGTGACAGAAGCACAAGATGTGCGAACTCCACATGTGAAAAGCTGGGTCTTTTTGTCAACGTGTTTGCGATGACGCGTATCGACGAGAAGATCGAAGTGTTGAAGGAAGTCGATACACAATATAGCAAACGGAACAGCAGCCATGGTGAAAATCCATCGAAAGGGACGTCGTAGTCCGAGGTCAATGGTAAAGGAGCGTTGACCGAAAACTCGGATAGCAGTGCCGTTAGCGGCACGCAAGTTGGTTGTCTGTGGCTTTGTCGCGTCGCCTGGAATCGGTGGGATCACACTAACTTCCGCCCCGGTATCAACCAGGAACATGATCCCGGTGTTCCTATCAACGATTTTGAAGAGGCGACTTGGACGACTTCGGCCGACGACGTTCGTTACTACTACGTGTCGGCCTGTCCGCTTCCCGTTACGGGAAGTGAGCGTGGTTTAATACAATTTCTAGCGGACTTTCCAAAACGTGCGTGATAACGGCAAATTGGACATCGTGTTCGTCTTCGAGATGGGCTCGGGGAACGGGATGGAGAATCCCGTTGGTGCCGATGTAACTTTAAGCTTTGAACTTCTTGCCGTAGCGCGACTATCTCTGCTAGGAGCTCGCCAGTCGAAGGTGGAGTAGCGGTGTTGATGGTTTGGACCGAAGGGTCAGCAGTAAAACCTACGTCAGGTGAGCGAACAGAACTAGACAACGGACACGGTGGTCCGGTGAAACGATCCATAATGTCATCAGCAATATCTGCAATTTCTGACAAAGGCAAGCAAGAGCATAGCTTGTACGTTTTCAGGCAAACGCTAAAGCCATAACTCTCGAAGCAGCGACTCGTCCATATGCGATCATTGAATAAGATCACGTAGCTCCAACAACAGCGCGGATGGCTTAACAGAACCTAGCTGTACACCAGTAAAAAGTTTATGCAGGCGGGAATACTTTGAGGGAGTAACACGCGTTATTACAGCTTTCTTGAGCAAATTGTAACGGTCAGGAGAACGAGATGTAATAACAAGACCATGTAGTGCTATAGTAATATCAGTTGGCAGGCGTGTTAGCAAGTGATTAAACTTTGCAGAGTCACTAGTAACATGCTTAGGAGTAAATTCAGCTTCTAAAATCATGAACCACAAGGCGGGTTCATTGTCAATAAATGGTGGAACTGACTGTGGGTCTTCACACATTTTAAAAACTGAGGCCATGGCTTGCGTGGAAAAACCAAAGAAATGGAACGAACTCACCGGAATGCCATTGGGGTCACTAATTATGTAGCGTCCTGACGAATGCTACACCAGAAATCCGTAGCACAATAAGACCGAAGACGGCAGGATATAAAACTTATCTTGAGAAAACAGCACGGTACAATGGCTATGTAAATATAGCATGAGGACAGCGGGAGAAAGTGGTCAAGTAAGGAGTTACAACACGTTGGAGCGCAACAGACGGCAACGCGCGGGCAAGATGGCGGACCTAGTTCAAAAATGCAGTCCAGTATATAGAGGCTTTGGAGGAGTGCAAAGTAAAACAAAATGTATACAAGTCTGATGGCGATGCTTGATGGAGGAAAATGTCCTTGTCACTACAAGATTCCCCGGTTTGCCTGTGTAAAATTCTAACTAAAATTCTTTCATTGTACACTTGGGGAACCGGTAGGTTTGTTGAACTGCTTGCTGAGTTCTAATGCTTGACTAGCTCATGGCCATTTTTGCTTGGCGCTGGTTTCGGTTGCAACTTGCAACTGCCCTGTGTGCTATACTTGCTCCGTACCCCCAGCCAGAGCGTACGCGGTGTCGTTCTTTTATTGCTAGGTAACAGGGAATCTTTTACTGTATCAATAAAAGGTTCCCTGCAACTCGATCCGTCTTCTCGAATTGCTCTCTGGTCTCCCGGTACAGGCGACCTTCTAAACTATTCAGCTAATACAGACCTAAATTATCCGGCTTTCTCTCTTTGAGCCGACACTCTAATCTCGTCTCAATGGTCTCCTTCCTTCCTCCTTCGACTACTGTGACCCTAATGATCAAGGGTGGGCAGACTTAACGGTCGGTTAACATCACCTCGAGCAAACCGTTAGCTATTTCACTTATCTTCAATAGAGCCCTTTCATTTTCGCACACTGTTTGCATTACTTGTTCACTTGGCCGGATAGTCCACCGACCACAATGAACGTTCAGACATTCAGCCTTAGTTTAGTATATGAATAGATTGCTCATGGTTTGACTTGACAGCATGATGTCCTTGAAATATCAGTATGGTTACGTGCAAACGGCGCGTTTATAAAAAAAGTAACGCTGCCTATGGACAACCAATAACTAACGGACTGGCTGAAACCTGTAATAAAAAGCGTTCTCAGGAACATCTGAGCATTCAGTGATGGATATAAAGCAGAAAAAGCTACTAAGGAAATAAAGATAACAGAAAAAAACCTATTACTACAAAGACGAGCTTAACTAACAGTATATATAAATTAAATTTAACATTAAAACAACCTCATAATGCATATGTATGGCCATGTAGTTACGCAAACTTATCTACAATCATATATGTATTGCTATATTATTAGCTGAATAGGTAAAAACATAAACTAAATAAAGGTACTGTGGAGTAAACACATTACTGATGTGATAAGAGTCAAACAATGTTAAAACGGATTAAAATTTAGCCTTATAGGAACATTCTAATGGAAATCCATGAGACTATATATACGAAGCTTAGATGCAAGCATTGTTTATTTGCTATTTATTTTTCAACCCATTGGCTCAATGTCATTCGGCAACTGATGCTGTACCAAACCACACAGTATATTTTCAGGACCATTTCATGTCCGTTATTTACTTACATCGCTGTTCATCTAATTCCTAAATGGAGCAAGTAAGTGACGTAACATGGTTGGCGGTTGGCCTACTAAGTCAGAAACTATAATACAAAATTTATGCTATTTGTTAGCGCGGTTACACCCACAGGCTTTTTGACTTGTATGCCTATGTTCACAAATATTTAACTTTCAAGTCAATGGGACCTACCTCTAAATGCCAACAAATGTCAACTATTGACTAGTAGTGGTAGCGGAATTGCAGTTTAGTCTCCTGTAGGATTTCTATCATTGCGGTGCACTGACGAAGCCCGTGATCTAGGTGTCATCGTAGCGAACAATTTTAAGCCTTCGGCACAGTGTCGCCATGCTGCCAATAAAGCACGACACGAATTATTTCGTCTTAGGAGGGCGCTGAGTAACACTAAAGCAGAAGTATTCTTGCCCCTATATAAAGCAGTGGTCAGGCCACATCTGGAGTATTGCGTTCAAGCCTGGTCACCGTACCTCCGTAGTGACATCACTTGTATAGAAAAGATTCAGAAACTTGCGACCAGGATGATTGAAGGTCAACGAGGGTAGTCTTATGAAGATCGTCTAAGTAGGTTGAGAGGGGATTTGATAGAGACGTTTAAGATCGTTAAGGGACTTAGTGGTATCAGTTCCACCCATCTGTTTGAACTGGCTACGTCAGACCATCTGCGCGGGCATCGCCTGAGGCTTAAACATCACAGAGCTCGTTTGGACATCAGGGCAAAGTATTTTACCAACCGGGTAGTTAACTACTGGAATAAACTTCCTTCTGATTTAGTGGAGTCTGAGACCGTAGAATCCTTCAAAAGGGGCTTAGACAATTGTTGGTCCATCCTTTTTCCAGAGATATTGTAGTTGTACCTTAATAGGTAGTGTATTTTGTTGCTGGCATATGAAAGTGCAGAGATTGCTCTTGTTCTTGCTTCATTCCATTGCAGAAGCAAGAAGAGACAATCCAACGTCGAAGTGCCGGGGGTCGCTTCACTTACCGGCACAAGAACTGGACGCTCGTTAGGCGGAAGCCTCTATCGTCCATCTGACCTGACCTCACCTGACCGGAATTATTTAAAACGTCTGTCGCTTAAACTTTAGGAAATTGGAGTCAGCGGAAATGTCTTATATTGGATAGAAAGCTTTCTCATAGCTCTGACCATTCGAGTGAAAGTGAATCAAGCTCTTTCTGCTCCTGTGCCTGTGGTGTTCCCCAAGGTTCCGTCCTTGGGCCTGCACTCTTCAAACTCCTCATTAACAGCCTCCCTTTGACACCTCAAGATGAATGCCTAATCTATACAGATGACCTTAAACTATAATCAGAATTAGGTATTTTTGATTATACCGACAAGCTGCAAGCATCACTTGATCTCCTGCATGAACACTGCTGCAAGTGGGAACTCCTTGTTAACCGTGACAAATATGCCGCACTCCCCATTGGAGGCATAGATCCGCTCGGTGTATATCACATAGGGGGCTATCTTCCTAAGACGTTCACCCACGAGAAGAAGCTTGGAGTTGTCGTTTCACTTGACTTCAGAACCTCAGCGGACACATTAAAGGTCGCGGCTACTAACAGGATGCTGGGTAACCTACGGAGATCGTTCTCTCGAATCTCGCCGAAGTTCTTTAAAACCCTGTTCATTGCACATCTTCGCCCAATCCCGGAGTAGGGTTTGGAGTATGGTTCATCTCCCCTCGAAACATGAATGTGCCTTATTAGAATAGGTTCAGAGGCGTGGCGCGAAATCCGTCTCGGAGCTTCACGACCTCAGCTACCCCTTCGACTTCAAAAGCTTGACTTGTTCCCCTGGAGTGTCGCCGCCGTCTAGGAGATCACCTTTATACCAGACGGATCCTAAGGGGAGAACTTGGGACTGACTTACAATGACTCTTTCGACTCAAAGTGGATGCCTCGACGTGGGGTTCACAAGTGAGAGCTTTAAGAATGAAGAATACTTTTCGTCCAGTCTGATGCTGCCCTAGCTACCGGGGTGGTGAACCATTGGAACAGCTTACCAATGATCGTAGTTGCTGTACTGACTGAGGAACTTTTCAAGCGTCTATTAGATTGTCACCTGATGAGTACCGTTGTTTCCTGCTGCTCCTATGACAAACGTAACGATACCCAGGGATGCGTCGACTCGCAGACACAAGTATTAACCTCACATTGAACTGGAAGTGATGGAGCTGACAAGTATCTTTTTCCTGCGCTCTACACAACAATGAACCAAATATATGCTTTTACGAAGCAGATCATGTCACATAAACCGTAGTCGCTTTATTTACGATGACCGAGCAACCCGTGCTTACAACAGAAATATAATGAGACGTAATTTGAATGGCTTTGTGGTTCCATTCACGAGCAGTATAAAACTGCTCTCGGCGCACCGTTAGATGATTGCTAGGTTCTCAATGCTTGCCTCTGGTCTTTTAACGGGAATGCTAGATCCGAACTTATCCTGGCTGTTTAGTCCCATTAAGGTATATATTCTTGGCGAGCACATTTTTGGCGCCATCGGACACCCAGGGTCCATGGCTGGACTGAAATAGGACGGTATGCATTTAAGCATAAATAATCTGCAACATTAAATCGGCTTTAAATATCATGAAACGTATTGATTACCTATTATTCTAACAATCAATTAGAAAATTTTTTGTTCGACCTGACGTTTATAATGCGCCCTTCATGTTAATATAACCGTACTTGTACTTCCTACCCCTTGTTATTTCCTCACTACGCAAACAAATAGTAGTGCGCGCTATATCATTTACACAAATGCAACCTGGCATCCATGTTTGGGAACGTGTACACCGCTTGGCCTGCATTACGCAATCGTTTTGACGCAGAAGACTGTAAGTGTCCTATTTGGGTCCAAAAGGTTTGCAGTATGGACTCAGACAAGACACCAGATAGGGCACCTCTACAAAGGTTTGAACTTGGCACTGTGCCGCGGACACCAGAAAAAGTAACTAGACTCTTCGAGAAATCTGAGCCAAAGGTCCAAAAGACGAGTGGATCCAAAGTGGATAATAAATGCATTCATTTAGACATCGATAAGCTAGCAACGTTATCAACTAGATCCAAAGCAGTCCTTCCTTGCCCCAATGAAAGACCCTGTACCCAAGGAACGAATAAAACAGGTTCTCCTATTCCTGACGAAATCACGTACATTACATCAAACTACTCATGCACAATGTTTAAAGGAAAGTTTAAGCGTTTGTAAGAGTGGAGTATTGGCAACTCGTTGCATATAAAACAACCCGGTCCAAACAAACAAGACACATCCATGGATAGACAATCTGATGTAATTAATAGTCCACTGTCACCCAAAGACGATTCTCCAATCCTATGACTTTAAAAAACTTATGGATACTAACTACTCGGTGGCACCCAAAATTCCCTACCGACCAATCTCCTACAACCATCAGGGCAAACAACATTCAATGTTGAATAAGACCAATAACAACTGTCTCTTGGCTACGCCTAATTATCATCCTTCACTCCACAACAATCACTGGAAGTGCACAGATAATGAAAGGACGTCAACCAGTAGAACTACGTTATCACCCGCTCCTTTCCATCTTCCTTCAACCCCTCAAGCGGCTTCTTCCAAAAACCATATGTTAGCGGCGACGGGAATGGACTTGCACCAGTTCCCATCTCAGATGCATCCGGCGGAGGTCAACACCTTGATCCCACTCTTCCTCCAATTTGTCCAGATGACAAAGCTAGTCCATTGTCAAACCAACGGCAACCTAAACATGATGCCTGGACTCCCGTCGTGCACCCAACTGTCTCGATGTCCACACATGACCTGCTACCCTTATTAACAAAGTTCTAATGGCTAACTCGGGCCTACCATACTCGCACTTACCTGCCATTTGCACAATGCCCGAACGCAAAGGTTCAGACGATCACACAATGGACAGCGATGATTTTCTAAGATTTAGTACAATTTCAGTGATTCTGTTTAATACCAGATCCATAATCATCAAACTTCATTTTCTAAGCACACTTGCACAGTTCTATGAACCACAAACAATCCTCGTCACTGAACCATGATGTTTTTCTGATACATTTGGCTTTACCCTGATGATTCCAAACTACCACCTAGTTCGAAAAGATCGCTGCGACATAAAAGGTGGAGGGTGTGTTAAATACCTACGCAAAACATTTACAGCTATACCTATAGACCACTCACAATAGTAAAATATGCCTGAATCTATTTGGCTGTAAGTCGCGGGTGTCTCATCTTCCACACTGCTCGCATGTATCTACAACCCACCGAATGCGTGTAACGTAAATATCACCAACATCACTGCTGCATTTGACTTCGCATTAAAGTTGCCACACAGCCAGAAGAGTATTGTCGGCGGTTTCAACCTACCGAAAATACGCTGGTCATCCCACCCAACATCTACCTTGCACATCTCTTTTCGTTCCTCCATCAGAGCTCGGGGCTAGACACAATGGATTACCAGTCCAACCAGGTCCGCCAATGTACTGTACTTAATATTCTCATTGGGGATACGCAATCTACAGACCGTGGTTTTAAACACTGTACCTGGCGGCGAACATAACGTGATCCGACTCAGCTTCCAAATCAAAATGGTCACTAAACTCGCCACTACAACGCCAGTTGCAACCTATAAGGTTAACTGGGGATGCCTTCAACAGCTCATTCGTTTCTCCGACTGGAGTGTATTTTTCCTCTGTCAGTGTGTATACCACTGTGGAGCATTTCTATAGACAAATCCATCACGCTATAGCCATCCTTGCTCCACAATTTATTCATACCCATTATGTTTCCAAAGATTTTGTCGAGCACTTAAGTAGCAAGAAAACCAACAATTTAGCTGCAAGTTACAGAAGGAGCAATGAATTTTCACTTGTCTTACAAATGCATGAATTTACCACCAGAGACAAATACGTGCAATTAGCACGATGAAAAAATGAAGAACATACAGCCCTACGGGCAAGTTGCAAAGCTACGGAACTTGTCGAAATCCTGCACTGTAGAACCAGTGATTGATAACTTCTGATTACCGAAATTGTTGATAGTGAGGGTCACTTACTCCATGTTCCAGCTGAAATCTGTACACCATTCAGCGACTTTTTTTACCTCTACCATGAGTCGCGAAGCTCATCCGGTACGTGTGTGCACGAAGCTGACAGAAACAAACTTCTTAAGCAGAGTCGATATCTCTCTCAACGCTATCCATCGTTATCAAATTATTCAGGTCATCTTCCAAGCAGTGATCTGATGGGATTTTAACAACCACCATTAAACTAGAAGGACCTGATATACCATTCTACTGATGAGCATGTTCACTCTATCGCTGGAATCTGGCCACTTTCCAGCCCAATGAGAAACGTCATTTATTATGCCTCGGCATAAAGGAGTTCCCAAACAAACGATTGATAATTATCGACTGATCCACCAAACTACAATAATCGCTCGGCTATTTGAAAAGCTGCTCAGAATAGAGATGATGAACTTTGTTGAATTTATTAGCCTGATCAACAAATCCTAGCATGGTTTTCTAACTAAGCGATCGTACACCACATCTCAACTGAATTACCTTAATCATATTTCAGAATCAATCGATTCCAGCTATGCAGTAGTTATCTTGTTTCTTGACATACACCAAGCGTGCAACCGAGTATCGCACAAGCGAATGCTACGAAAGTTGGAGAACTTTGGGATCCGGGATCCATCGGTAGGTTGGCTGTCGTCATATCAGAGTGATTATCATCAGGTAGTCACTTTAGTGGATTATCGTTCTTCCCCGCGCTCAGTCACCAGTGGAGTCATTAGAGGGAGCGTGCTTGGCCCCTAATCTTTTTGCTCTACATCAAGGACACCATCACATCTGTAAAACCTGGTACATGATTTTTCTTTTCTGACGATATCAACCTAGTCTATAAGCTTCGGGGTGATGAGCTTCACGGCACACTACTGCTCATTCAAGATGATTTACATTCCCTTGAGTCATGGTGCTGCACATGGGTGATGAACCTCTCGGCTATGAAATCAAGCATCATGCCTTACGGCTGCTGCATCCCCGAAGGATCTATCACCCTAAACAGTGAACGCGTCCCTACACAGTTGTCCACGCGAGATCTTGACAGTAGGTACTTGTCTACCTTCAATTTCTCCGAACAGGCCCAACATCAAGTAGCACGTGCCAGACAGTCCATGTTCAATATATCAAACAAACTATGTACAACTCGTGCTAGAGTTGAGATTTTCAAGCTACTCACTCGCCCCTTTTTCGAGTTCTGCAGCATAGTATCCGGAAATATGAAAAAGCGTGACAGAAGTGCTGTGGAGAACTTGAAGAGGTCAGTTACTAAACATCTGATTGGTAAACTACTATGAGTTATCGAGAAGGTTGCAATGAACCTCATCTCGAACCACTTTGGATTCGACGCTTGAAGTACTTGTTGCTGCTTTTCAACATGTTACACAAAAAGACCTATTCCAACCTCTCTACACTCAATTCACAACATTGTTAAACTCGAACGCTTCGCAACAAAGATTTTACATTGAATATACCGAAGGCTAGAACAAATGTCTACTCTAATTTCCTCCTAGTCTGATGAAGCTATCTGTGGTATAAACTACAAATAACACTTAGGTCAGATGGTAGTGTGGCAACATTTAATAGCAGACTCGCCAATTACCTTGATGTAACTACCCTAAGTTCTATATTCACATGGGAAAAATCCCTCGATGAGCTATTCCAAAAGTGGCCTAAAAACGTATAAACACCAATGTTTTCATAACTAGACTTTGTCCTCAACCATCCGCCAGAATGTTAATACATGAAAGGCATATCCCAATACTCCACCTATACATGTTACCCATGCAAGAACATGGATTCTTCTGTACAAATAGATCTGTACCGCTATAGACACAGTTTCTCTCATCAAGGGCAATATACCTATTCTTATTACTATTATTATTATTATTATTATTCGGCCGCAAGTAAGACCTCGTAGGGTGCGCATGAGATGATCGTACCAACAGGAACTCCAACAACTTGTACAATCCTTGCTTTGATCGGGTCAGGACAGATGCTCGAGAATCACGCCATATTGCCGGGCACTGGAACTAACATCTAAAAGCAGTGATTAGCATATCGAAAGCTAAAAGCTTTACCAGTCAATAGCAGAACGAGGTTGACCGTTGGAGCGAGTTGTGTGTCAGGTGCTCCTGGCCGACCTATTGAAACAAAACTTGCGAAGAAATATGGTCGCTCAGAGACGGTTTCTGGTGAGGCACTAACATGTACTATAGTGCAATTTCCTTGATGCAAAAGCCATCCTCATGAAGCGCATTGCAATTCCAAACTCGCAATTCCGCTATATCAAACTTGATCTGATGGTTTGAATTTCGTCCCGAATATCTCTCACCGGAACGGCAAGGGGTACAAAGCCGATCACCCAGCGGCACTCTAACGGTTAGTTGTACTGAATAAAAATGAAAACTTTTAATGGTAAAATAGTACAAGACATCAAAGCTGTCTTACTGCATTATAATAGATAGAAAATGCTGACCATCTTAAGCAACTTCTTTTGTTATCTTCCTTCTTGCTCCTCATTGTACAGCACGCTCCCAAATAGGACGATTGGTCGCTTAACTATGCAACGGACGCAGGTAGACATATTGAGGTGGAAATATCAATTCAAACTATTTTAGTAACTGACGCCACACTTGGAGCTTCATTTTATTTATCTTTACACAATTTCGTTTTATCTTCCTCTCATACAAAGTTACTTCACTTTTTGATTTGCACTCCGTAGTTCTTCGTTTTAATTTATCGGCAAGATAATGGTCATTATTGCAGGGTATGTGGCCCATAGTTGGTTGTTTAGGATGTAGATCCTGCGCTTTGCTTTAGGTTCACTAAAAGTTGAGGGCACTTGGGCTATCGTCGATTCAACCACGCCCTCAGGAACAAACACTATGTACCAAGCAGTCGGATGGATAAGTTAGACGTTTGTACGCCAGCGATGCTTGCATGTGAAGATTTTCAAAATCCCTTTGGTTTCTGTCCTGATGGTCGAAATGGCAAAGGTCTATTTTCAGTTAAACTAAGGTTGCGATAGATATTACGTGTTCCGATGCATCCACGCGTAAGGTATTACTATGCCCAACTAGAAATGCTTATGTCTCGTGCATAGCGACGCTCCCAACTCATTATTGCTTCGTTAGTAACAATTCAACGTTAACCATTAGGTCCTGCATTGCACTTTTCGATCCGGCTATCTATACTTGACAAACTCATCAATCAGAAAGCCGGTCTTAGTGTGCGGTGCTGCTAACGAGTAGCACCAAATTCAGAAATCTACTTACTTAGTTGACCGATCGCTTGAGCCATTCTATGCTATGCATCTTAACATAAATGCCAACCGTCAGCGTTTTACGCATGAGAAGTGGCAACTACAGAATATTTAAGATAATCCGACTGTTTGGCTCATAGTTTTTCAATGGCTAATGGATAATGCAACTCAAGAAGCAGTCTTGCAACAATCTTATTTAGAGTGAGAATGACGGAACAGAGTTTTGGTAGGTGAATTAAACAAGCAGAGTGCAGACGGATATACAAACTGTCTGTTTGTAATAATCTGAAACAGCAGTTATTCCCTAGGACGCCACAAGGTCCTATATCCAAGGAGTAACTTGACTGGCTTTCAATAGGTGGGTCAGTAGGTAAAAGAGGCATAAGTATACACGAATTGCAAGGACAGGTTGAATGGGCATGCAGTTAAGCTGTGAAGTTTCAAAATAAAACGCGAGCTGGTTTTGTTTTAAACTAGGAATTATTCTCCATCTGCTCGTTGACCGGAGTGCGTCATTTGAATGTTTTCAAAGTGCATCATATTAAAATAGTTGTTCCACAAAACGTTTCGTTTGTAGCTGTCAACCTTTATATTTGGAAGTTTTCGCTTTTCACCGCACCACGGTTTACTGGCAATGGCATTTTGTCCCGTTTTGTTAACCATCATAGGTACAGATTAGCGAAACATTCCGGGACTAAGTCGGTTTTTCTTAAGTGCAGTCGAAGGAGATTAGCTGTCACCTAAAGTCTAGATTATGTACTTGAGAATGAAAGCAAATACAGTAGAAAGCACTCTGCTTTGGGTTTATATCTTTAGAAAGCTGTGTATTTTGACATGGTATTTGCAGCTGGTTGGAAGCTGCGTGGCGTCCGAAGCATGAATAAAATGATTGGGCATTTAGTATTACTAATGCTTTAGAGATTAGATTAGGCTTCTAGGAAAATCTGTGGTGTACACTAATCGGTGATTTAACAGTCAAATCCTTTGTTTAGCTACAACAGTAAATCAGCTAAAACGAATCAGTCGGTCCAATTTTTTAAGGCAGGGAGCATGTGACTGAGGCTAATCCTGGGTAGGAGGAGTCTCAACTGGATAAAGTTGTTTTGGTATGCCTTAGGGTTTGTATAAATGCATCAGGAGGGATTAGTGGCGCGTTATAAGGGAGTTTAACCCGAATACCGTTAAGGAAAAATACCTGAGTGTTTACATTTGTTGCCATGCAGTAAGCTGTAGAAAACTGAAGCGGTCAGCATAAGGAAACGGGAGAGCCGACACATGGTGCCTATGCAATGGCAAACGTAAGTGACGTTACGGATTTAACTATGACGTTAGCATGAGAAAAGTTAGGTACAAAAATTGTATACTTTGTAGAAGCAAGAAGGCGAATGCAACCGGAAACACAATGCGCATGGCGGTTAGGAAATTTTATTAGTAGCCTACCTGTTGTGTTATGGTGTAGACTTTCCATTGCGCCAGAAAGGACAGTTTTGGTTATAGTGAGAATTTTTAGGAGGGCAGATGACATATTCTGACATCAGCTGGAGTCAGAGGAGGCTCATTATGTAGACCTACACAGTCTATAGAATCCTTCAGATAGACTGTTGGTTTTAGGAGGTTTACTACCTTTATGTATGCAGCGATAGCCTTTGATGTTACCAAACATCACTATGACCCAGCCCTGTCAATTGTTATCGCCACTGATGCATCCAACCATGCAAACTGAGCTGTGTTTTTCCACTGCTTCCCAGATTGTTCCGAGAAAGCCGTCATGCACGTCTCACGCCCGTTGACGTCGGCAGAAAAGAATGACAGTCGGATCAAGCTAGAAGCCCTGGACATCGTCTTTGCCCATAAGAAGTTACACAAGATGCTGCATGGTCGATACTTCACCTTATTGGCCAGTCAAAAGCTGCTACTATCAAATTTGGATTCTAAGACGAACATCCCAGAATACTCAGCCATCCGACTTCAGGGATGGGCCGTCATTCTTCTCCGTTACGATTTCGAAATCGGCTTCTGCCACATCCAGGATTTTGGTCAAGATGACGGCCTCTCACGCCTCATTTCCAAGCTCGCTACAGCGGAAGACACAGTGCTCGCCGCCGTTGCCGTCGATGAAGCAGCTCTTGGCTGCTATCTGCAGTCCTGTTACTGCGGCCGACAGACGCCGCGCAACAATGCAACACTACGTCCTCCGCCAAGTTGTGACTTGCGTTCTGACACGTTGGCCCACCAATGGTCTACCTGGGGAACTCAAGCAGCTGTCTTAGCGTCGTTACTCCCTTTCCATGGTCGATTACTGCTTTATGACTGCTAAACGCGTCATCGTTCCTACTTGTCTTAGGCAAGCCGCACTCCAACAGTTTCTTTCTGCTCCCCGTGGTACGAACAGAGTGAAGTCAATCGCCCTCAGTTAGGTTAACTGACCTGGTATGGAGAGTGACATTGAGGAACTGGTTCACCGTTACTCACGATGTTACCAAGCAGCCAAAGTGCTATCAATGCAACCTCCTGTTACTTGGAAACCAGCAGAGAAGCCGTGGTTCCTTGTACACATCGACCATGCTGGTCTAATAAAAGGCGTTTCATATCTGGTTCTGGTCGACGCTTACTCCAAATGGCCGGAAGTCGTGGACATTAGCTCTGCGACCACAACTGCAACTCTGACTTGCCTACATCGTATCTCCAGTCAATCTTGTCTTCCCGACGTCTCGGTATCTGAAAATGGTTCACAGTTTACGTCTTCTATGTTCGGAGATTTTTGTTGTCGTCACGACATTTAGCAT